GGTCATCATGGTCATCACGGACATCACGAGCATGGCAACGGACACCACGGTCATCATGGTCATCACGGACATCACGAGCATGGCAACGGACACCACGGTCATCATGGACATCATGGACATCATGATTCTGTGAGTCACGGACATCATGGTCATCATGGTCACCACGAGCATGGCAACGGACACCACGGTCATCATGGTCATCACGGACATCATGGCTCAGTAAGTCACGGACACCATGGTCATCATGGACATCACGGACATCACGAGCATGGTTATGGACATCTCTTATACACACTCCGTTAAGCACCATAAGAAGGATTCCTCTTCCAGCTCTTCTTCTTCTTCATCCAGCTCTTCATCTGAATCTGAGCCAGAGAAGCATCACAAGAAACATCATGGACACAAGCATTCCGTGAAGCACCATAAGAAGGATTCCTCTTCCAGCTCTTCTTCTTCTTCATCCAGCTCTTCATCTGAATCTGAGCCAGAGAAGCATCACAAGAAACATCATGGACACAAGCATTCCGTGAAGCACCATAAGAAGGATTCCTCTTCCAGCTCTTCTTCTTCTTCATCCAGCTCTTCATCTGAATCTGAGCCAGAGAAGCATCACAAGAAACATCATGGACACAAGCATTCCGTGAAGCACCATAAGAAGGATTCCTCTTCCAGCTCTTCTTCTTCTTCATCCAGCTCTTCATCTGAATCTGAGCCAGAGAAGCATCACAAGAAACATCATGGACACAAGCATTCCGTGAAGCACCATAAGAAGGATTCCTCTTCCAGCTCTTCTTCTTCTTCATCCAGCTCTTCATCTGAATCTGAGCCAGAGAAGCATCACAAGAAACATCATGGACACAAGCATTCCGTGAAGCACCATAAGAAGGATTCCTCTTCCAGCTCTTCTTCTTCTTCATCCAGCTCTTCATCTGAATCTGAGCCAGAGAAGCATCACAAGAAACATCATGGACACAAGCATTCCGTGAAGCACCATAAGAAGGATTCCTCTTCCAGCTCTTCTTCTTCTTCATCCAGCTCTTCATCTGAATCTGAGCCAGAGAAGCATCACAAGAAACATCATGGACACAAGCATTCCGTGAAGCACCATAAGAAGGATTCCTCTTCCAGCTCTTCTTCTTCTTCATCCAGCTCTTCATCTGAATCTGAGCCAGAGAAGCATCACAAGAAACATCATGGACACAAGCATTCCGTGAAGCACCATAAGAAGGATTCCTCTTCCAGCTCTTCTTCTTCTTCATCCAGCTCTTCATCTGAATCTGAGCCAGAGAAGCATCACAAGAAACATCATGGACACAAGCATTCCGTGAAGCACCATAAGAAGGATTCCTCTTCCAGCTCTTCTTCTTCTTCATCCAGCTCTTCATCTGAATCTGAGCCAGAGAAGCATCACAAGAAACATCATGGACACAAGCATTCCGTGAAGCACCATAA